AATACATTGCAAAGTTGCTGTTTAAAACCAAAAACACAGTTGGAGTTTTTTTCTCGTTATGCACTGTGTTTACCTGGAGTTTACCTGGAGAGAGTTCCGGGGGTCAATGCCCCCGCGGCCCGGTCTGTGACCAGGCCTCCTGGTGGATCAGAGCCTGATCAGCCAGGCTGTTACTGCTGGCTGCACGCAATCCAATGTACGAGCCACAGCCCGGCTGGTCAGGTACCGACTTTAGGTGCTTGTCGAGTGCCAGCTTGAAGACAGCCAGGGGTCTATTGGTAATCCCCCTTATGTATGCTGGGAGGCAGCTGAATAGTCTCAGGCCCCTGACACTTATTGTAATGTCTCTTAACATGCTAGTGACACCCCTGCTTTTCATTGGGGGCATGTTACATCGTCTGCCAAGTCTTTTGCTTTCATTGCGAGTGATTTTCGTGTGCAAGTTCGGTACTAGTCCCTCTAGGATTTTCCAGGTGTATATAATCGTGTATCTCTCCCGCCTGCATTCCTGGGAATACAGGTTCAGGAACTTTAAGTACTCCCAGTAATTGAGGTGTTTTATCTCCGTTATGCGCGCTGTGAAGGTTCTCTGTACATTTTCTAGGTCAGCAATTTCACCTGCCTTGAAAGGCGCTGTTAGTGTGCAACAATATTGCAGCCTAGATAGAACAAGTGACCTGAAGAGTGTCATCATGGGCTTGGCATACCTAGTTTTGAAGGTTCTCATTATCCATCATGTCATTTTTCTACCAGCTGCAATCGATATAATGTTATGGTCCTCGAAGGTGAGATCCTCCGACATGATCACTCCCAGGTCTTTGACGCTTGTTCTTCGCTCTGTTTTGTGGCCGGAATTTGTTTTGTACCCCCGATGAAGTTTTGATTTCCTCGTGTCTACCATATCGGAGTAATTGAAATTTCTCATCATTGAACTTCATATTGTTTTCTGCAGCCCACTAAAAGATTTGGTTGATGTCCGCCTGGAGCCTTGCAGTGTCTGCAATGGAAGACACTGTCATGCAGACTCGGGTATCACCTGCAAAGGAAGACATGGTGCTGTGGCTGACATCCTTGTCTATATCAGATATGAGGATGAGAAACAAGATGGGAGCGAGTACTGTGCCTTGTGGAACAGAGCTTTTCACCATAGCCGCCTCGGACTTTACTCTGTTGACTACTACTCTGTTCTGTTTGTGAGGAAATTACAGATCCATCTACCAACTTTTCCTGTTATTCCTCTAGCACGCATTTTGTGCGCTATTACGCCATGGTCGCACTTGTCGAAGGCTTTTGCAAAGTATGTATATATTACATCTGCATTCTTTTCGTCTTCTAGTGCATCTAGGACCTTGTCGTAGTGATCCAATAGTTGAGAGACAGGAGCGACCTGCTCTAAACCCATGTTGCCTTGGGTTGTGTAATTGATGGCTTTCTAGATGGGTGGCAATCTTGCTTCTTAGGACCCTTTCAAAGATTTTTATGATATGGGATGTTAGTGCTATCGGTCTGTAGTTCTTTGCTATTGTTATACTGCCCCCTTTGTGGAGTAGGGCTATGTCTGTTGTTTTTAGTAGCTGTGGGACGACCCCAGTGTCCATGCTCCCTCTCCATAGGATGGTAAAAGCTTGTGATAGGGGCTTCTTGCAGTTCTTGATGAACACTGAGTTTCATGAGTCTGGCCCTGGGGCAGAGTGCATGGGCATGTCATTTATCGCCTGTTCGAAGTCATTTGGTGTCAGGATAACATCGGATAGGCTTGTGTTAACCAAATTCTGTGGCTCTCTCATAAAAAATTCATTTTGATCTTCGACTCGAAGTCTGGTTAGTGGCTCGCTAAAAACCGAGTCATATTGGGACTTAAGTAGCTCACTCATTTCCTTGCTGTCATCTGCGAAGGACCCATCTTGTTTAAGTAGGGGCCCAATACTGGACGTTGCTCTCGACTTAGATTTGGCATAGGAGAAGAAATACTTTGGGTTTCTTTCGCATTTAATTTATGGCTTATAGTTCTTCCAAAGATTCCTGACTCCTATAAGATTCCTTTAGCTTAAGTTCGATGTTTGTTATTTCTCTGACCAGTTACTCCCTATGCATTTCGTCGCCCGTAAAGGGAGCGCCTGTCTCTTTATTTTACATCTACTCCTCCTTTTTCTTAAAGGAATAAGCCTTGAGCATACATCAAGTGCCACCGAGTTAATCTGTTCTAGACATAAGTTGGGGTCTGTGTTGCTTAGTCTATCTTCCCAGCTTTTATCGGTTAGGACTTGGTTTACTTGGTCCCACTAAGTTCTTATTATTGAAGTTGAATTTGGTGAAGGCTCCCTCATGACTAATCTCATTATGTCGGTCTGGAGCTCCGCGCATACATGTCTGAACCTCGATTATTTTGCGATCTGAGTACATTGTTTTTGATGTGGTGACATTTCTTATCAGATCATCATTGTTAGTGAAGACAAGTCTAGTGTTTCTCGTATAGTGCTTTTATTTTTTA